GCATTTAGCTCCCTAGCAGCCTCGCACCTATGACCTATCCATATCATCATTTACCCAGAATGCTTTGCATGTAAATAAAATGGCCCCGTCCATGTAACATGTTTTTTTAAACTTTTAGTTTAAAAATGATTAATTGGGGATCCCTTTAAAGTACTGAAGTCTTGCTTAGCAGATTGCTCTAAACTTCATTAAGCTTAGAGCATTCATTGCTAGTTGTTTTTTGTTGTTAGCCTCTGTTGATGTACGGGAAGATGCGCTCTATAGCACACAGCAGAAGGAAGGACATTAGTCAATTGATAAATGAGTCGGTTTGAATATTTACTACCAGCGTCTGTCTGTTCTCTCTTCCTTCCCATGGTAGATAATTTTGGCAGTTGTGCATTGATTTCCCTTACACTGCAGAGGCAGGGGTTCAGATCATTACCCTCCCTTCAAAAAGCTTCATGTGCTTCTGTTTATTAGTGACAAGATGCGGCAGTCGATTCGCAGGCCATCATGTCAACCAGTGCCCTTAAAGGAACAAAAGGGTCTTTTTAKGTCTAAGACAGACTTGGTTTTATTCCTTCAATCCTTTACGTCAAAGTTTTATCATCTTTAAAACCAAATCTGATKCACCAGCTTGTTTTAAGGAAGTGGTTACTTAGCAGTTAAAATAAACCGTCAGATGTTGATGGGCATTTTCTATCTGGACAAAGCAGCTGTTTTCCAAGAGTAGACTGATTGACACGTCTGGGATTCAGTATCCTGCTCACTTTGACCACAGTGTTGCTAAAGAGTAAAAAGTCTGAATATACTCTCAAGCACACTTTGACTAGGAACAAAGGGAAATATACAGGTAAACATTCACTTAACATGAAAAACTGATCTAATTTGAGACATACCCGGGCGATGCAATATGTGCGTATAGAACCTTCCTTACAAAATTAAAGTACCGTAAAATAATAATAAGAAAAAATCCAATATAGAGAAGCTTAAGGCTTGCTAATCAGTTTTTACAAGTCTGCAAATCTGAACTAGTTAAACCTACACATGGGATGGTGTGTATAAAACAACACCAAACATATTAAACCTGTTGAGTTCTGGTGCACTGAGCCTGAAGCATTGGATCCTCTTCAAACCTGTAGTCCAGTTTAGACCCAACATTTTTCTGAGCCTCACTTATCCAGATTGCTTCTGTGCTTGCAGACGTGTGTGTGTTCATTTCGCTGCTGAAATGTCTCCAGTGTCGGCAGCGAAATTGAAACTGTGAGCAGTTCAGCTGAAACAATCGCTTGTATCATCTGTGCATGCATTGTTCTCCTTCTCTCCCTGGAGCTTCRTTCTGCTTCCAGAGATGATTGTGGCCTTTGTTCACCATACACAAAAAGCCAGCAGACTGCTAGAACATTTGAACACAAGTTGATATCTTTATGGATCTGTGTACACATATTTAGTGCATCTACTTTGGCACCATTTTGTATGTAAATAAATGGTTCACGTATATATACGTATATACAGTATATATATATTTATGAGTCTGCACACTAAAGATATGGG